ACTAAGGAATCCACACGCTTCCTTAAGTAATAAGAACCAGGCTGACGACATTCCGCTGGTCGCCCAGCTTGGACACAAACCTCCCCACAAACCTCCATGCCTTTCCATGCTCTGCTCAAGCCTTCGCTTTTTGCCCGAGCACGCTTACCTCGGCTTACCGGTCGTTCCATGTCCTGCCCTTTGGCCAGAGACACGCTTACCTTGACCACACCCTTCGCATTATTCAGCCTTTCCATGCCCTGCTCAAGCCTAGAACATGCTTCCTCGACCTTCTGGCCTTTCCATGTCTCGCTCTCGCCAACAACATGCTTACCTCGGCTTAACCGGTCGTTCCGTGCCCTGCTGCTCAGCAGCCAGAGACACGCTTACCTTGACCCTATTTTTTTCCCATCATTTGCCTTCCCATGCCCTTCTTCCGCCTAGAACACGCTACCCATGTCTAGCTTCCGCCCGAGACACGCTTACCTCGGCTTCAAAACCAACAAGAAAAAAAAAAAAAAATGAACCGACGATGCTCTTGCTCTCTTTCTCTGTCTGTCTCCTCCCTTCCGTACGCTCGCTTCCTTCTTCTTCCTCCTCTGTCTCTCTTCTACTCCTCCTCCTCTTGTTTGTTTGTTGTCTTGCTCTTTCGTTCAGATGTTTCTTCTGTTGTGGGCAAGGTGCATCTCTTTCTTTTCTTTTCTTTCCGGTACACATGCCTACCTATCTATCAATTATCTCTTACCTACGGTGCCCCCCTTTGATCTTTCTAACCGTTCTGACAAAACACCAGGTTGTACAACACAACCTTCCACTTTTGTCTCTCACTTCCCGAAAAATGCCATTTTTATTATTGTGTCGCCGCGCAAAGGCCGGGTCTTGGAGGTAGAACTCTCTCCCTCCTTCCCGGCCCTTTGCCTACTAAGGAATCCACACGCTTCCTTAAGTAATAAGAACCAGGCTGACGACATTCCGCTGGTCGCCCAGCTTGGACACAAACCTCCCATCACGAAGTCTTGTTCTTCTTACTTCTGGATCTCTCTTCCTTATTTCTTCCCCATTCCGTCCCTTGCCCCGGCTGTCTCTCCAATACCCCTTCCCCTTCTTCCAACACCGCCGACACCCATGCTGGGTCTTGCATATTCGCCCTCACGTATGCCATGAATGCGTTCGACGACCACCTCCCTTCCTTCTTTATCACAGCCTCCGGTACCCCTTTCGCGGCCAGCCTCGTCGCCCCACCTATCCTTCCCGAATGTAACGCGAACTCTTCCGGTTTCAGCTTCGCCCCTGCCCCTTTTCCTTCCTTCGACCACATCTTTGACACCGCTCTTATCCCCTTCCTCATCTGCTCTGTCGCCTTCCTTCTCTGCCATACCTCCCACTTCCCTTCCCTTCTGTGTACCATCAATGGTGCCGTTGCACTTAATCCTTCACTTCCATAAATCCCGAATAGTTCCAACATCAATTCCACCGCTCCATTCGCCCTCCCCCTCTCCCTGACCAGCACCGCTCCTTTCCTCCCTTGATCTCCCTTCGAGCCTCTCATCTGCACTTCTATATTATCTGCCCTTAACCTCTCCGGTCCTTCCAGCTGCT